TGATACCTATCTACCTTACAGCACAGCTGAGGGAGGCGGGGCGGCCACCTTCAGGGAGACCCAGAAAACCAACAAGTACAGGGACCTAGAACGTTGTTACAGGTTCGTGCCAATAGGCTCTGAGACTCTGGGCGCCTGGGGTAAATGTGCACTTAAGTTCCTGAATGAGGAGGGCGAGGAACTCATTTGGAAAACTAGAGACCCAAGAGCGGCCAATTTCATGTTCCAGCGCCTGAGTGTCGCTGTTCAGAGGGGAAATGCGTGCTGTATCTTGGGTACGCACCCGACCCCCGAAGAGCTGGACGAGGTCTTCGAACACTGATTGTTATATTGTTATATAAGTGTGTTTTCTGTAAACTGTAGCATTGCAATAAAATCAAATAAAAAATATTAAAAAAAAATAATAGGGGTGGTAGGAGAGGAAAAGATTAAAGTATTCAGTGAAATTCCACAAGGTCTTCTCTGAACACTATTTATTTTCTTCTTCGAGGATGTGGGTCCCTTTAATTAAACCAGTGGTGGTACCTCTAAATATATATATATATATATATATATATATATATATATATATATATATATATATATATATATATATATATATATATATATATATATATATATATAGTTTTAAATGTTAAAGAAGAAGTTTTAAATGATATAAAATGAAAAATACAAAAAATAGATGGAGTGGTAGGAGAAGACAATATGTGAGTGTAGTACGCCACAAGGCTCCCCCGGATGCTACATATCGTCTTCTTCGAGGTTCCCTACAAACACAACCAGAGGTGGTACTCCCTATATATTAAAAAAGAATAAATAAATAAATAAATATATATATATATATATATATATATATATATATATAATATATTTATATATATATATTATATATATTATATATAATATATATATAATATATATATAATATTTATATTATTTTAATATCATTTATATCCGTTCATCCTAATCCTATAATATTATTTTATATAATATATATATATATATATATATATATATATATATATATATATATATATATATATATATATATATATATATATAATATTAAAAACAAATTATCGGTGGTAGGAGAAATTTTTTTTAAAATGTTCAGTGACAATCTACAAGGTCTTCTCTAAATACTCTTTATTTTCTTCTTCGAGTCTATGGGTCCCTACAACTGCCTCAGAGGTGGTAATATATATATATATATATATATATATATATATATATATATATATATATATATATATATATATATATATATATAATATAGTCACACATATAGAGGCGATATATATATTTATTAATTTAGCGTGAAACAATAAATGTAATTTCATCACACCATATGGCCAGTTCATGTAACGTTGATAACTTTATTACTAGTAATAATGATAAATCCCCCAGTTATTATTCCATTGTTGATAATATTGTAACTATCACGCTAAAACTTTATCTCTTCTCCAATAAAAGATCATGTTATATTACTGTACATATGGCTTTATTTTATTGGTTGATGAAACTCGTGATTCATGCACGTTTGTGTGTGTGTTCTCATCTATTTGTGCCTGCAGAATCGAGCATTGACTCTTGGATCCCGAAGTGTGTGTGTGTGTGTGTGTGTATTCACCTAGTTGTGCTTGTGGGGGTTGCGCTCCGCTCTTTCGGCCCGCCTCTCATCTGTCAATCAATCAACTGATTATTGTGTGTGTGTGTGTGTGTGTGTGTGTGTGTGTGTGTGTGTGTGTGTGTGTGTGTGTGTGTGTGTGTGTGTGTGAATGTGGGAGACGAGTAGGTGGTGATAACTCCATACACGATTTTTGTATGTAAATTAGCAATGGAAAATGGAAAATAAAATCATTCCATTAAACAACTAATAGATTGACCATGAATGTATATCTTCAATAATAGATGCACGCACGCATACACACACGCAGACACACACACACACACACACACACACACACACACACACACACACACACACACACACACACACACACACACACACACACACACACACACACAAGGCGGGATCCAAGAGTCAATGCTCGATCCTGGAGACACAACTAGGTGAGTACAACTAGGTGAGTACACACACACACACACACACACACACACACACACACCTGGTAGTTAACAGATGGAATGCGTTAGGCAGTGATGTGGTGGGGGCTGACTTCATACTCAGTTTCAAATGTAGATATGATAGAGCCTAGTAGGCTTAGGAATCTGTACAACAGTTGATTGACAGTCGAGAGGCGGGACTAAAGAGCCAGAGCTCAACCCCCGGCAAGCACAACTAGGTGAGTACACATACACACACACACACAGATACATATATTAACATGTCAATTTGCTACGCAGTTTATAATTATCACATTTTATTATTGAATTCCTGGATCATGTTATATCATTGCTGCGATAAACATAACTTCAATATATCGTTTCATCCCAGTATTACTTCCGCGTATATCATAGACTAATGGCTCTGTGCGTTTGTAAACTTTTCCATATATACATTATTATATCACTCGTATCTTTTTTTTTATCTTTTTGACGCTAGTTGCTTTGTAATATTAATACTACACACGTATTTATGTTATTTTTATTTACAATGGAATTATATTAATCTACCACTTTAGTGTTAATAATAATAATAGTATATTTTATATAATTATTATTACTACTAATATTATTATTGACATTGTCATTAATATATATTTTGTTATTCTTAAGACGAAAGAATCAGCAACAGAATCCTGTTGTTTGATTACTAAAGGTCTAGTGGTTGGGAAGATGGTAAAGGAGAGAGAAAGACTTGGGAAAAAGTTAATTGGGATCTTATTAATTAATAATTGTTAAAGGAAAGCACCAAGCCTGGAAGACTTACAAAGTTAACTATTGTAACACGACCCATGCTTGGCACAGACATGGGTCACACGATGACCTCTTGCTTGGTGGGATCAGCTGATGTTGCTATGGTTGGGTCAGCTGATGTTGCTATGGTTGGGTCAGCTGATGTTGCTTTGGTTGGGTCAGCTGATGTTGCTATGGTTGGATCAGCTGATGTTGCTATGGTTGGGTCAGCTGATGTTGCTATGGTTGGGTCAGCTGACGTTACTTTGGTTGGATCAGCTGATGTTGCTATGGTTGGATCAGCTGATGTTGCTTTGGTTGGATCAGCTGATGTTGCATTGGTTGGGTCAGCTGATGTTGCTATGGTTGGATCAACTGATGTTGCTTTGGCTGGATCAGCTGATGTTGCTATGGCTGGGGTCAGCTGATGTTGCTTTGATTGGGTCAGCTGATGTTGCTATGGTTGGATCAGCTGATGTTGCTTTGGTTGGGTCAGCTGATGTTGCTATGGTTGGATCAGCTGATGGTGCTTTGGCTGGATCAGCTGATGTTGCTTTGGCTGGGTCAGCTGATGTTGCTATGGTTGGGTCAGCTGATGTTGCTATGGTTGGGTCAGCTGATGTGGGTGGGGTTCGCATGTGCAGATGGGTCCTGGAAGGAGAGGAAAGGTACTATTATGACCAGAGTAAACAAGAGATGTGTGCAAGACTGAGGTAGTATAGGGGGGAAGGGGGGATTCATACTGGGTGCAGGATGAACGAGGGATTTTAGCACCCTGCCCCATTAATGTTTCACATCTTGCGTGGCGCGTCTGGTGGAATTATTCAGTAAACTTTGCTCTATGGTATTAATATTCCATGCCATATGCTCATCTCGGGGCTCGCTGCATTTAAAACAGAATCCGGTGTGTGGGTGTTTGTGTAGGTGTTTTATTTGGGTTAGGTGGGTGTTGTTCTTCTATATTTGTGCTTTATTGCCTTGTGAAACTCTGGTTAGATTATATGTTTTGAATTTACTTGTTTTTAATATTTTTGTTAATTGTTTGTGATATTAATGTTAATCTTGTATCTAATGTTAATCTTGTAAGCACTGAATGATGCCTTCCGTGTGATATTTTATAAGGTTTAATTGCAAAACTTTATTCAATGCTATTTTCCCTCATTAGCAAGTCAAGATGATAGAATGTCAATAGAATAATAATGATCATTATAATATCTTAATAATAATAATAATTATTATTATTCTAATTATAATTATTCATACTACATTATTATTGTTAGTATTATTATTGTGTTATCCTGCCTCCAGTCGTCTCTGCTCTACTACTACTCCTCAAGACAAACACGACAGCTGTGCTGACATCAGAAACGGCGTTACCATGTTGTCGCTAACATCATCCCAGCCACCATCACCACAAACCAACACCACTATCATCACAAACCAAAAGGGGAGAGAGAGAGAGAGAGAGGGAGGGAGGGAGGGAGGGAGGGAGGGAGGGAGGCGGGGGCCGGCAGTGAGACCTCTAAATCACTGAACAATTGCATCAGGCTTGCCAAATATATAAAATTATTACGATATTTTTGACGCCCGTAAAAAATAACCGTGGCGCAAATATTTAGTTTTTTTTTCTCAATTCGACACGCACCAAAAAATATATATGCATATGGAAAATAAAACAGAGAAATACACAGTCCAAACATTTGTAGTTGATGGAGCGATGTTTGTCAAGCCACTGTTCTGGTTAGCTATTATCATACCCAGTGTAAACAGGAGCTCTCCATCAACTGGTTGTTTGTGGGGGGGGGGGGGGGGGGGGGGGATCACGAGTGTCATGTCATCTCTTGTGCATGTGGTGATGCTTTGGAGGCATCATTTGATGTTTTGGTGGGATCAGCTGATATTTTAGTGGGACCGGCTGACGTTGTTTTGGTGTGATTCACTATTGTTTTGGTGGCCTCAGCCTCCCACTCTCCTCACTTCGACTCCCCTCACTCGTGTCCCACTCCCCTCACTCGTGTCCCACTCCCCTCTCTATCCCTTCCCTTCTTAATCATCTTCGCATGGTAACTATATTAGTAAATGAATACATGTCATCTTGACTATTAAGAAAACATGTTAATGCTTTAGAAATGATATACGAATCATCCTTTTGGTTCCTTAGTTCTTGGATCCTTAGGGCTGGGTACCTTAGGGCTGGGTTCCTTAGGGCTGAGTTCCTTAGTCCTTGGTTCCTTAGGGCAGAGTTCCTTAGTCCTTGGTTCCTTAGGGCAGAGTTCCTTAGTCCTTGGTTCCTTAGGGCAGAGTTCCTTAGTCCTTGGTTCCTTAGGGCAGAGTTCCTTAGTCCTTGGTTCCTTAGGGCTGAGTTCCTTAGTCCTTGGTTCCTTAGGGCTGAGTTCCTTAGTCCTTGGTTCCTTAGGGCTGAGTTCCTTAGGGCTAGGTTCCTTTGTCCTTGGTTCCTTTGGGCTGGGTTCCTTAGGGCTGAGTTCCTTAGTCCTTGGTTCCTTAGGGCTGAGTTCCTTAGGGCTGAGTTCCTTAGGGCTGGGTTCCTTAGGGCTGAGTTCCTTAGTCCTTGGTTCCTTAGGGCTGAGTTCCTTAGGGCTGAGTTCCTTAGGGCTGGGTTCCTTAGTCCTTGGTTCCTTAGGGCTGAGTTCCTTAGTCCTTGGTTCCTTAGGGATGGGTTCCTTAGGGATGGGTTCCTTAGGGCTGGGTTCCTTAGGGCTGGGTTCCTTAGGGCTGGGTTCCTTAGGGATGGGTTCCTTAGGGCTGGGTTCCTTAGGGTTGAGTTTCTTACACACACGCACACACACACACACACACACACACACACACACACACACACACACACACACACACACACACACACACACACACACACACACACACACATACACACACGCGTGAACACAGTACAGCACTAAAGGTTAGGTAAATTCATATTAAATTTAAATTTTTGACCTTTCGTTATTCGAGGGGAAATGAATGTTGTGGTGACCTTCCACCCTCTCCCACCTCACCTGGCACTGATTACCTGAACCAGTACAGTAATTAAAGAATTTTCTTTCAATATTCTCACCTGTTTAAGAGGTCCTGTGTACTAAAGTCACAATAAGATAATTAGATATTTATAAAACTTCACTGAATGTTGATTGTTGCTGTTTAAATTGGTAGTAAGGTAATCTTTAGTTTCTTTGTCTTAAGACTTTTGGTTGAATTACAGGTATCAGTGGTCTTTATGTAATTATACAATTAGTGATCGTTGAGATGATAAGGTTATTTGTCAATACTTTGCTGGTGTCAACGGTAGTTGATAATGTCACACCAGGAATACTGGCCAGCTGGGTCACTACTGCTGACACTGTTACACCAGGAATACTGGCCAGCTGGGTCACTACTGCTGACACTGTCACGCCAGGAATACTGGTCAGCTGGGTCACTACTACTAACACTGTCACACCAGGAATACTGGCCAGCTGGGTCACTACTGCTCACACTGTTACACCAGGAATACTGGCCAGCTGGGTCACTACTGCTGACACTTTCACACCAGGAATACTGGCCAGCTGGGTCACTACTGCTGACACTTTCACACCAGGAATACTGGCCAGCTGGGTCACTACTGCTGACACTGTCACGCCAGGAATACTGGTCAGCTGGGTCACTACTACTAACACTGTCACACCAGGAATACTGGCCAGCTGGGTCACTACTACTGACACTGTCACGCCAGGAATACTGGCCAGCTGGGTCACTACTACTGACACTGTTACACCAGGAATACTGGCCAGCTGGGTCACTACTACTGACACTGTTACACCAGGAATACTTGCCAGCTGGGTCACTACTGCTGACACTGTCACACCAGGAATACTGGCCAGCTGGGTCACTACTACTGACACTCACGCCAGGAATACTGGCCAGCTGGGTCACTACTACTGACACTGTCACGCCAGGAATACTGGTCAGCTGGGTCACTACTACTGACACTGTCACGCCAGGAATACTGGTCAGCTGGGTCACTACTACTGACACTGTCACGCCAGGAATACTGGTCAACTGGGTCACTACTACTGACACTGTCACGCCAGGAATACTGGTCAGCTGGGTCACTACTACTGACACTGTTACACCAGGAATACTGGCCAGCTGGGTCACTACTACTGACACTGTCACGCCAGGAATACTGGTCAGCTGGGTCACTACTACTGACACTGTTACACCAGGAATACTGGCCAGCTGGGTCACTACTACTGACACTGTTACACCAGGAATACTGGCCAGCTGGGTCACTACTGCTGACACTGTCACACGGTTGACCTACTCATCAATAATAGTTCAGTAACTAGGGGCCAGATTCACGAAGCAGTTACGCAAGTACTTACGAACGTGTACATCTTTCCTCAATCCTTGACGGCTGTGTTTACAATTATTAAACAGTTAATGAGCTACGAAGCACCAGGAGGCTGTTTATAACAATAACAACAGTTGATTGGGAAGTTTTCATATTTGTAAACTGTTTAATAAATGTAATCAAAGCCGTCAAAGATTGAGAAAGATGTACATGTTCGTAAGTACTTGCGTAACTGCTTCGTGAATCTGGTCCCAGGCTCCGACACTTGTTTTAAAGGAAGTCCCTAAAGTTACTCCTAAAGTCTTCCCTTCCCCTAACTATCTCTTCCTTCCTCCCTAACACAGAGCTAAGAGGGTTAAGCTACGACAATAGGCTAATGCAACTAAATCTCACAGCCTTAGAGAATAGAAGGAACAGAGGGGGATATGATCACAGCATTCAAAATAATGAGGAAAATAGATAAGGTGAACAAGGATAGCCTCTTCCTTGAGAGAAAGTAGAACAGGAGGACACAGGCGAAAGCAGGAAATGCAAGCGTGCTAAGAGAATGTAAGGAAATACCCGTATCCTGTACGGGTGGCTAACAAGTGCAATGCATCGAAAGAAGTTGTGGAAGCCACCTCCATCCACAATTTTAAGGCTTGATTCGACATACAATTTGAACGTCAAAATAGTTAAGTTGTTATGCAACAGGAACAACAAGGCTAGTAGCCTAGGCATGGACATTTCACTTCCCAGTCAACCGTCCTCTCGAACAGTACATCGAATTTTGACGTATAAATCCTCCTAAGGCCAAAAAACTGACGTACTGAAAATCACAGCGGCTCGCAAAATTGACGTTATGTTCCGCTTTCTATTTGTGGGCCCCTCGGTTAGGTTAGGTTCGGGAAATGAATGCATCACTTTAGTGAGGGTGTGAGCGCAGGAGAGGTCTGGCTGCCCCTGTGGACACTCTTAGGTAAGCATCTTCCTACCTACCTTATTACTACCCGCCCTCTATTTTCCTTATTCCCTTTTTCCACCCTCCCTCCTTATATCCTTCCCTTCTATCCTCTTGCTCCTTCAACGATGGATTAATGTTGCAAATATCCTTCTTGTTCCCTCTTGTTATCCATTTTTGTAACAAGGCGAATATGAACATAAAGGAAAAAGAGGAACACGTAAACGTCGACGCGAAAGGCGAAATGTTAGGATAAAATGATGAACTTAAAATGAGGGAGGGGGAGGAGGAGAATGAGGGGGGGGGAAGGAAGAAAGGAGGAAGAGAGAGAGAGAAAGAGAGAGAAGAGAGATCCGCTCATAATCTTCCAAGCAGCAAAACTCGTGAATATGTGAACACTGTGAAATGGAGTCGTGGACTCCAGGGTGATCCCATTATTAATGTGCATCACTCCTGCAGCTGATCCTGCTGCTGCTGCTGATCCTGCAGCTCCTGCCGCTGCTGTTGCTTCTGCCGCTGCTGCTGCTCCTACTGATGTAGTTGCTGCCACTGCTGCTCCTGTTCTTGAGGAAGGGACTTGTAGAAAAGGTAAACGGAGGGGAGTAGGTATGGTACTTGTGAACCGTGTACAATACACACAGCTGGGCTGTATCCGGGGCAGCAATAACGTACCACCGTCTTCCCTAAGATGAAACAGTTGTAAGAGTTATATTTACATGATTTACATCATCTTTGTCTCCTGGATAAGCCAGTGTGCAATCAACACAGGTGCTAGCTTCTCATATTATCTTGGGGTTCTCATCGAAGTAGATGTTCCATAGGAGTGATCCAATCGCACTACCCCGGGGTACACTACTCAGTTTTCTCTACCCTCACACTCGCCTCTATGGTATGTAGGCAGAGGGTTGTTGATCACATGGAAGGTTTGGTTTCTATAGTGTTTGGTGAACTGCAGATTCCCACCAACTTCAAGTCTCTTAAGCTTACACACCTCACTACTACATGCTCCAGCAGCACCCACGGCTGTGACCTGTGTGTCCTTGCCACCGTCCTCTCACTTGTTCTGCTCTCAATTGTAGCAGCAGATCTCGTATGCTTCTTTTATCTTCTATTATTTATTATTACTGATATTATCATTACTACAACTTAAATTACATAATATTTCTCACGAGAGAAAAGTATGTACAACAAAGACATTTTCTGAATTCTCTTGAATAATGTAAGCTGTTAGCATTTTAGAGAGAACACACATACACAATTCCTCTATTTTTTGATAAAAACCTCCGTCAAGCAGTGGCGCTGCGACGTCCGCGCCTTCTACCATATTGATGTTGAATGTCTCGTGTGACCTTTCTCTGCTCCGAAAGTTTTTTTCAACACTGATGTAATTTGGGTATGATTAATGTGGTGTCGCTTCTGGTGTCAGGTATTGTATTGTGAGATGGGTGAGTCGTGGTGGGTGTGTAGTGGTGTGGGAGTGATGGTGTGGTACTCACCTATCAGTAATTACGGGGAAGTGAGGTTTTGCGTTTTATGCCCCGGCTACTAGCCTTGTTAAACCTGTTGCGTTATAATTTAACAATTCTGACGTTCAAATTGTTTGGTTTAAAGTTGCGAATGGAGGTGGCCCGCACATCCTCTGTCAGTGCATTCCGTTTGCTGACCACCCGTATAGGGTACGAATATTTCCTCTCATTTCTTAGTTTCGTTTGCGTTTTCACCTTCTACCAATGTCCTCTTCTCATACTTTCTCTCTCAATTTAAAGAGGCTGTCCTTGTCCACCTTGTCTATTCCCCCTGTTGCGATCATGTCCGCTCTGTTTCTTCTTAGTGCTTTCTTCTGATAATTACCTTTACGTTAGCTCTGGCACTAATCTTGTTGCAAACTTTTGTAGTTTTCAATTTTGGATATATGCTTCACGAAGTGTGGATTTCAGGCCGGTGCTGTATATTCCAATATTGGTCAAACAAAAGCTGTGTAGATTGCCTTGAAAGAAGGCAATCTACACAGATTAGCAAAGAAGGTTTAGACTTCCAAAAGACATTCTAATGTTTACCAGCGTCCCGTATGCGCTGCCGATGTTACCCCTGTTGGTGTGTGCCTCTGGACTGGAAAAGTGTTAGATTGATATCCACTCCCAACTCCTTTTTTCTCTCCGAATCTTGTAGTTACATTCCCCCTTATGCTGTAGATGCCTTCTGGTCTCATTTCTCCCCTTTTCATGTGCATTATTTTGCACTTAGGATTGAACTCTAGCAACCATTTGTTTGCCCACTCCTGGAACTTGTCAAGATCATCATGTAACATTCTACAGTCTTCCTCGGTTTTCACAAGCCTAATTAGCTTTGTGTCGTCTACACACATACGAGCTCATCTCTTAATTAGGTCATTTATATACATTAGGAACAGAAGAGATCCCAAGACCGACCCTTGGTTAACACTACATATTACCTTCCTCCAACTCGAAGACTCATGTCTGAGTGTCTTATGTTTTTCAGGTACTTTCTTTCGCAGTTCATTGTCTGCCTAGTTATCCCAGCTTCATCTTGAACACCAGCCTTTCGTGAGGTGGTGGTGCTTTGTCGTAGTGATGGTGTGGTGTTGTGGGGATAGTGCATTGTTGGTGTGGCGGTGCTGTAGGGATGGTGCTATGTTGGTATGTTGGTGCTGTGGGGATAGTGCTATATTGGTGGGGCGGTGCTGGAGGGAGGGCGTAGGCTGGTTATGGTGTTTTGGTGTCGTGGGGATAATGGTGTTGGTGATGGATGGATGGTGCTGTGGTGTGATGGTGTAGTACGGATGATGATGCTCTTGTGTTGAGGCTGTGGTAGTGGTACTGTGGCAACCTGTCTTCAGGGGTGTGTACCCCTCGTGGTAATGATCTTAGAACCACTACGTAATTTGTGATACTATGTACTCCCTATCTATAGTTAGGGGTGGGGAGGGTAGGAGTCCAGCTCGACCCTGCAAGCACTGCTAGTTGAGTACACGCACGCACGCACGCACGCACGCACGCACGCACGCACGCACGCACGCACGCACGCACACACACACACACACACACACACACACACACACACACGCGCGCGCGCGCGCGCAACAGATGTAGAATGATAGAAAGCGAAAGATAAATAAATATATATAATAGAGAAACAGAGAAAAAGAGATAGAAAGACAGAGATCGAGATATGGAGAGACAGAGAAATGGAGAGAGAATTATGGAGAGATACGAAGAGTGAGAGAGATACGGAGAGTGAGAGAGAGATACACACAAGGAGAGAGACGGAGAGAGGGAGAGCCGGTCAGTTCTAGGGCCAGCCCGGGCATCAATCAATACTGTCTTACGTGGCCCTGACAAAGTCCTATTGCATCCGGCTCAGGAAATGGACGCTGGCGGTATTGCTCCGGCATATGCTCCGGCTCTCAGGGCGTGGGAGAGGAGAGGATGCTCTTGCAATGCTCTGCCTCTCCTGGAATGCGGGGAGAGAGGGATGCTGCGAATATGCTCCGGCATCATGGGCGGAGGTAAAATCAGGCTTTGCTCCGGCTTTTATGGACTCGTGGAAGGAGGTAAAATCTGGTTATTCTCCGGCTCTCTTGGGTGCGGGGGTGAATGAAGGAATGAAGGATGGTTTGGAATACTTCTGCTTTTTTGCGTTTAGCTAAGGGAGGAACATTATATCTCCCCAGGGTTAAGAGGAATGGAGGGAGAGATGCTTTTGCTATGCTCCAGTACTTCTGTGCTTGGGATATGCTCACATGCTCAATGTATGCTACACACCCTGATGAAGTTAGAAATAGGGCAAGAGATAAATTCAAGTAAACCGATGTAGAGTTCCATACAATATATATATAAAAATTCATTCAAGATAAATACAGTTCCATTCAAAAGAAAATTTGTTAATAGGAATTGTCTATTTCTTGTGTTAAGGTATACAACGCAGCATACTTCATGTATGCTGCGTTTTATAAATATTTAAATATTTATAAATATTTTCATACAACACCTGCCTTTAGACCCAACTATACATAAAGCTTAAAATAAAGTTTTCTCTGTTACTTCGTCTCTTGGGAACATTAACTTACGAATCGAAAAGCATAAATAATTTTGTTTAAGTTTTGACTAAGTTTAAAAGACTGAATAATTGAGGGATTCATCCGGTCGAGACTGATTATGTAAGACTATAGGACGGCAGGCACCGATGAAAGACTTTAGGACGAACCGTACTGTCGTCCTAAAGCACACACACACACACATACACACACACACACACACACACACACACACACACACACACACACACACACACACACACACACACACACACACACACACACACACACACACCTCACACACACACACCTCACACACACATACACCACACATCACCCCCCCCACAAACAATATAAACACACACATTCACACACTCGAATTTGGCAAAACTTGGATGTTTGAATAGTTTCCTATATAAACAATTCATTCCATGTATATAAAGTACCAAAATATACTTCCCAAATATATCGTGAAGGCACTATTAAAAACAATATGGCGGAGGAGAAAGAGGAGGGGTAGACGACACTGACAAATTTCCCCTATATCATAACTTGGGCTCCCGCAGCTAGCCAATAGGGAGTGAGTCTGAGGCTAGCGATCATATTCCTGGCCAATAGGAAGCTCGAATATGAATAATGTCTCTTACGTCCGCCCCCTGTTGATGACGTCATCATATTAATCTGGGCGCGGCCTCCCATTGGGCAAGAAAACTCCCCCCACCACCCAATGACAGGGCGGGGAAATATGGAAACATGAGATGACGCATTTTTGTGACGTTCTAAATTGCTAAACAAAAGTTATGGTTAAATTACTTGCAAATTTATGCATAACTTGTATTGGTTTTTATTAAAATAACAATGAAACAATAAATAAGAGTAATAAAAAAATAAAATTTACCATAAAAATATAGATCGTCTTTTCTTACCGAAAACTTTCTGAAATCAGTAATAAAAATTTGCATAAATATCTCGCTTCAACTGGGGCCTCCCTTCCCTTCCCTTGTCTTCCCCCTTCCTATCCCAGGCCTTTCCTCTCTCCCTGGCTTCTTTCTATTCTTTGATGCTCTCCTCCCTCACTGGGTCTCGCTGCCGCCTTCCTTCCCTACCTTTATATCTTTCTCTCTCTCATATCTCTCACTTCGACCTCCGTCTCTACCTCTCCCTTGACCCCGATAACTTCCTCTCCTCTACCATCCAACCACTTGGGATGGACGGTAGAACGACTGTCTCGCTTCATGCAGGTCGGCGTTCAATTCCCGATCGCCCATTTGGTTGGGAACCATTCCTTCCCCCCCGTCCCATCCCAAAATCTTTATCCTGACCCCTTCCAAGTGCAATATAGTCATAATGGCTTGGCGCTTTCTCCTGGTAGTTCCCTTTCCCGTCCTCCCCACCTGTTCCCTTCAGCCATTTCCATATCATTCCAGTTTCCAGGCCAGTGAGACAGTACTGGCCTCGTTGCTCCAGTGTCTCACACACACACACACACACACACACACACACACACACACACACACACACACACACACACACACACACTTCCTATTAGGAAGTGATGTGGTGGAGGCTGACTCCATACACAGTTTCAAGTGTAGATATGACAGAGCCCGATAGGCTCAGGAATCTGTACACCTGTTGATTGACGGTTGAGAGGCGGGACCAAAGAGCCAGAGCTCAACCCCCGCAAACACAACTAGGTGAGTACTAGGTGAGTACACACACACACACACACACACACACACACACACACACACTTATAAAAATGACGAATACATGAAATATATATAAATTAAAAACATAAAAATATCAGAATACAGAAATTGAACATATAGCATAATAAAATAATAAAAAGAGCAAAATATATCAGTCAGTCAACCAAATTTGAAGCATCAAAGTAAAATAATTCAGCGTTCAAACAAAAAGCCCATAACGCTGAAGAACCACAACAAACATCAATTAAATACAGTAAGCAAACACCCACAGGACCCGGGATTGCAATACAACATACTGTCCTGTTTGCTAATGACTGCAATAGACTCATTTATGGATATTGCAGATAGCGTGCAACGTTGGTCGCCCGTGTTGACATTACCTCATGCGTTCAGAGCAGGCTGCTGGCTCCCTCCCGTCTGTTTGTTACTCTCGCGCACACGCATACACACACGCGCACGCAATACGCAACGCCCATGCACGCACAGACGAAATACGCATGAATGCGCGCACGCACAAATATATAGTAGATATAGAACTAAGAGTCTGTGAACTAAGAGCCCGATTCCTGGGACACAGGCAGTGCACACACACACAAACTCTCGAGTCCACTCTTAATTTAAAATCTTAAATTGCTTGCTAAACACCAGCACTATAGAATTCGACACATCCATTTTATAAGGCAATAACACTACTTATGTTGCACATACAACACACCCTTTAGAGTAAACCGTACATAAACCTCACAAATGACTATATACCCCAAGGCAGTGTACCCTGAGACAGTGTACCATAAGGCAGTGAACCCCAGGGAAGTATACCCCGGGGCAGTGAACTCCAGTGTATACTAAAACCCAGTTACTTTTGCCTTAGAAATAACTTGGTATTCTGACGATGGCACTACACCACGCTGGTGAATAACAAGAGAAGAAAGACCCTCACATGCAACAACTCCACAAATATGTTCTGAATTAAGTCATGCAAATCTCGACTTCACTAGACACGGGAAAGTCATAGCTTAATGCGCTAGAATATTTGCACGTCAGCAAATGGTCGCGCACCATCTAGACACTTACAGGTGTTTTACACCTGACACCTCACAAGTTAGCTCGACCACGAAACGCGACTAATTTAGGATTCTTGTTTACATATATATCTAAAACTTCTTACTAGAACTCTAGTAAGAACATGATATAGATCCATTATATATTCCCAGCATTCGGCTTCTCTTCTCCAGGTATAACACTGAACGAGAGGTGCAATTTTTGCAATCGCTGCTACAAATTAAATCTATTGCAGTTAAATGGCTATCAGCTCAATTTATATCATAAATTTCAAACATCCTCACTGCCTCCATCATCCAAGCAAGAAGCGAGTAATGTTTTAAAAAGTCATCCAACACCCATACAGTTGTAATTGAATACGGAAATAAATGTCCGTAGACTTTCAGACAATATAATTTAAAAAATGTCATAAAGTACATTAGAAAATCACCGCCCATCCTACAAAAATGATAGTACATATAGCAACCATTTGGTCAAACGGTCCGATATGTACTGTTGGAACCCAAAAGTTCACATTTTTTATTAGTGAATTAACTCAAATGGCTTTCTAGAAAATGTGAAATTTAACAAAAACTTAACCTAACTTGTCGAAGCAATCGTAGGCATAATATCCCCTATCCTAAGCCTAACATGACAATATTTGTGCTGGAGGCCTAGGAATGTCTAGTTTTAGCTTTTCTTTTCGTGTCATTTACATCATTAATATACAAAACGTAAACTTTTCTGAGTCAACAATACATATAGGTCTGTTGGAACACTCATTTTAGGAGGCTGGGCTGAGTACTTCACAGTTCCTGGGAACTGTCATGGTGACTGTAACCTTGTTCATACAGGGATACTATAGTGTAGTTAGCATTATTAACATCTTGATTGCTTTGTTTGATGGGTGCGTTTTATACGGTCTCTCTACTCTTGTACTCTTCAAAATCAAATTCAAATAAGTGAATTGAGGCATAAATACACACAAAGATATGAGGTAGCTCAAGCTATTCTCACTCTTGCACTCTTTATCTGTATTTTCAGTGGCCTGTAGTTTCAAGTAATTAAATGTGGTGTCAGATTCCCATAGAGTTGTCCTAAAAAAACTTCGAACGGGTCAGGATAAGGATCTAGGATGGGACTGGGGAAAGGAATGGTATCCAACCACTTTGACCATCGTGGATTGAACGCCAACTTGCATGAAGTTTGTCTACGTCCATCAGCTGATTCTCGAGTTCCTACAATAACAACAGGGACTTGGATATGAATGGATGTGATTTTATGCAAATATTTTATTCGTGCGCGTTTGTGTGTGTGTGTGTCTCCTTGCGTGCGTTCAAACTTATGCGCCTTTGTGATTGTGTGCACGCTTGTGTGTGCGTTTATGTATGTATATTTGTGAATGCAGTCTATATGTATGAGTATGTTAATGTATAATCGAAAATGAATGCATGTGTATTCATCTATGCATGTATAGGGGAGCCTAAACCAGCCACACCTCTTCCAAATATGCAAAGAGATCTCCACATCCGGAGCCAAATTATCCTCCCTCCACAAACACAAGCACACATGCACGCATGCGTGTGCAAACACACCAAACTAAAT